AAAAAAAAGAAGATAGATCTTTCATGAATAAGAAAGCAATGAAGAGATGGGGGAGGGGAGGAAAGCTAATGAGAAAAGGAATCAAGGTTTGTTACGTATATGTAATCTCAGTAGTGTTCATATTATATGCTGCACACATGTGCTAATAAAAGTATAGACTAAAGAAAAATTCCTTTCAACAAAAGACACTTTACCATTAATCCCCACCTACATAATAAACATAATAATGCCATCATTCTTTTTTTCTGATACTGAGAATTGAACTCACAACCTTGTCCTTGCCAGGCAGGCTAATGGCTGTTGAGCTATATCCCCTGCAAGCCCATCATTCTTGATACTTTATGAAGCAGTGGTGGAAACTCTTTGATCAAAAGTACAGTAAGGCTGCTGCTGAGTGAAAGGCAGCCTCACAAGAGCATTACACTGTGTCCTCATACACACTGCTCACCAGAACTGGCACTCTGTGACTTTGGGCTCTCCCACAAAGTCAAAATGATCATGACATGGAAATAATCTGAATCACTTGAAGAGCCTGAGGCAGACGCAGCAGCACAATCAAAGACCCTCGTGAATGCACACTTCCAGAACTGCTTCAGAATCCGGCAAGAAAGTTGGGATGAGTGTGCTCACAGCATGGGGGAGGATTTGAGGGGGATTCCTGCCAATGTATGTTTTACTGTAATTTTACAACATCTAAGCATGCACCATACATTTGAATCACATGTTATACACTAATTTTTTCCAGTGGATATGTCCTATTTATTTTTAAAGAAATTAAACCAGTTTTCAAAGTACAATAAGTGATTTATTTTGATATGAGCAATTACCTAGAGCTGCTGTCCTAATTAAAATTGTTTTACCTTTCACAGTATTTTAAAGGGAATCTAGTACAGCAGAGTTCATTTAGTGTCTAGGTTGGCTGGAGTAACCAGTGTTGAGCTCTCTACAGAAGTTCATGCTGTGCTGTTGACTTTCTTTGGGGCTTCCCACAGGAGGCCTCTGCTCCTGCAGGGAACTGTTCTCAAACCCAGGCACTCACCAGAGCTTGGGCCTGCAGATAGGATGAGCATCTCCTGGGTGTGAAGGTCCTCTTCTGACAGAGGCTGCTGAGCTGTGGCCTCACAGGAACTCGAGGAGGAGAGAGGGCCCCCAGTAAAGATGTAAAATGAATGATTTTCTGCATGGCACCAAATACGTGTGATCAGGAAAACTCATGGAAACCAGGACTGGTAACTGGATCCACCTAGGAAGGGGTGACAGCCACTAAGACAATGATGGGCTGGGTGTGGTAGTGCATGCCTGCAACCCAGCATTCCAGGTGGCTGGGGAATAAGTGCAAGTTCAAGTTTAGCCTGGCCGATTAGTGAGTTACCCAGACCTTGTACATGAACTGGGCTGTAGCTCACTGTGAAGGCCCTGGGTTCAATCCATAGTACTGCAAAAACAAAAACAAAAAGTCAGACAGAAGGAAGAGGCAAGCGTGGTGGAAGTTTCAGGCAAGGAGAAAACACTGGATGAGGCCTTGGCTCACTCAGCGTCACTTCAGAGTCAAAGGTCCGTCCTGGAGGGGGCCAGCTTCAGGTAAAAACTGCCAGGCTGAAACATGTTATGCTTGGAAGAGGGGACCTGGCCAGCAATCCTGGCGTGGCCTGTGGAGCTGACCGTTAACAGCGCATTCTCATTACAGGGCTGGGGCTCTTTTGTGGCCAGCTCCCCATCCAAGTTAAAGAAGCCACCTTAGTGTCTGCCGTCCAATGCCTATTTCTCAGCCCTCCTGATTATGTGCCATCAGTGGGCTCCTGCTTTTCCAGCAGTTGCAATGCCACATTGGTTTACAAGTTAATTCCCAGATCTTTGGGTGAAATGTCAAAAGGAGGTGTGTATTTGCTTTCAAAGGAGGAAGAAAATATCCGTGAAAACTCTTCTAACATAATTGAAAAGCAAGCGTAAGTGATTATATTTGGCCTTTTGCATTACTGATATGTCTTGATATATTGATACTATTTCCTTATGCCAGCCTCCAATTTGTAGCTGACAATGGTTGTAGATGCTATTAAACAGATTGCATGGATGATACTTCATAATTCACACATGGAATTCCTTGCTTGAGCCAGCTATTATGTGAGGCAGATATTAGAGCTGCTTTATAGGTGAAGGAAGACTCTGAGAGTTAAGTGACTGCAGAGGAGGTGCGTGGATCGCCATCTCATTCTGTCTTCCTGTAGACCCTGCTTCCTTCATGGCCCGCCTCCTTTCACCCCTCAGGCTTAGGGTAAAGACCCAACATGTGTGTGCTTTGCTAAGCTGGCATGTGCTGCCTTGTGGTTCTGGGCACCTAGGTGGTCCCATGCTGTTGCACCTGCTGCTCCCTGACCCTGGATGATACACTCCACCTTTCCAAAGGGTGCAGACCAGTAGCTGAGATGATGCGGACTGCTCAAGTGTCTTTCAACTGTGCTCCTGTATCAAGCTCAATGCTTGATTACATGCATCTGCTGCCACACCTGCTTCCTGTCTGTTGTTTCTATATATGTCGCTTACTCCTTTGCTTAGACTGTAGACTCCCTGGAGAAAAGAAGCCAGTCTTGTGTATGTGTGCCTCTTTCTGATTCCCTATAGTAATTCCCCAAACTCATGATGTAAATAAAAAACCATTTTCTGATGTTCCTGGATTCTGTGGGTGCTGAATTCACCGGACACACTAGGGTACCAGAACTGGGAAGTCTCTGAGATTCTCATTCTTAAGCTGATGAGCTAGCACACCAGAGTCCTTGTAGATGCAGGGAGAAAACAGGAGACTGGGTCGAGGCTTTAGTTTGCAAAGCAACGGCAGGAGCCTGAGTACCAGTACTTCCTTGTGTCCATTTCTAGGGGCCTAGTCCTGCAGGGTGATGCAAAGAGAGCTAGATGACACCCTACATATGTGGATGGTGTTATAAAAGGGGAAACTAGAGCACTAGGAGTCCCAATTTTTTAATCAGGGAAGTCAGCAAGCCACGCCTGCCTTAAGCCTAAGAAAAGCTGTTTTTATTGCAGAGGACATTGTCGCCATCTGCCAAGGCTGAAAGCTAAATTTCCCTTCACTTCAGAGGGTGAAAACAGCCCATTTTTCTGTGCTGTTCACTCTGCCAGCATCTTCCAAATGATAATCTGGAACAAAGGCACTGGGGTTTTGCCCAGCAGATACACAGACATGTGGGAGACATATGGGGAACGGCCTCAGCAGGGGACCCACCAAAGCTGGGGCTGAAGTTACTTGGGGGCTTCTCCACTCCCCACCTGGGGGCTGGAAGCCTGTGCTCAGCCGGGACCATCATCTGGAACCACACCCTCGGAGTTGAAGTTGTCACACCTGCTGGCTGTAAGAAAGCCACCAAGGGCAGCCCATATTCATCAGGAAAGGAGGCAGGTTTGGCTCTAGCTGTGGGGGCCTGGCTGTGCCACACTGGAGCAGAGCACGCAGGGCAAAATATTGTGGTCGTCTATGGAAAGCCTGCCTGCGAGCACAGAAGGAACACAAGTCTGTGCTCATTGTAGACGTAAGCGCACTCCGGTGTGCAGGGGGAATGCCCTTACGCAGGCTGCCTGCAATTGATGTTACCCATGTACCGGGAAGACAATGCCCACATGACACTACTGGCTGTGGCCTGGGGACAGTCACTGCCTAACTGAGCCTTTGCACCTGGGCACCCCAGAAACACCGGAACATGCAGGGCCTGTCCCTGCTGCTTCACAGGCCATGTCACATGAGCAGAGTCCAGTGAGCCCTGCTCGGAGCTGGGCGAATGGGCCAGGAGCTCTGAGGACTGCTGGAGTCACATGCCTGCCTGGAGGCAGAAGTCTGTAGAGCACCTGCGCAGGGGCTCCTCGGACCCCGAGCAGAAGGCGCGGAGCGTCTACGTTAGTGACCTCACTAAGCCTTTTGATTCCTCTGAGTTACAGGGAGCAGCAAGGGGAGCACCTGGCTTTCTGCCCTCCAAGGGCTGGACGGCAACAGGACTGAGGGGACCATTCGTTGCCTCTGGGCTTCTCCCAGCCCAGAGCCCTGCTCTACCTAGAGAAAGGAGAATGAAAAGCGTGTGTGTGTGTGTGTGTGTGTGTGTGTGTGTGTGTATGCGCAGAGCACAGGATAAGATGTTGAGGGAGGCATGAGAAGCAGACAGACAGGTGGCCATCGGCACCACGTGATGACTACATCCAGTTTATTCAAACAGCTTCCAGCGCTGTGGCAAGAAGCCCACGTTACCTTCGGTGTTGTGAATGTAAAGGACACACACGTCTTGGACAAGATGGCTACTGCTAGGACTGCCAAAATGTAGGCATTTTTTCTATTACCTATTAATAGTGTTCTATCAATTAAAAATTAATATGGAGCTTATCTATTATGATGAGATAAACTGTTAAAATGGATTAACATGAAGTTGATACACCTAATTTATGAAGCATGACACAGGACATATCAAGACTTGATTGAAATGTAACACATTTATTTAAGACAGTGCAGAACATTCTATTTTTAGACCTTAGTGGGTTTTGTTTTTGTTGACAATTTTACTTGTTCAACAGAAATCAGGTCAGGAAAATGACACAGTGACTGGGAGCAACATGACTGGCAACCTGGAGAAAGCACGCAGGACACTCTCTGGGAGGAAGGACGTGAGAGCGGCTGCTCAGTAAGATTCCACAGCTAAGCGCTCTGACATTCCCACAGCAAGCAGCACTGGGCAGGATCCCTCTGACAGGTGAAGGCTTTCCCTTCACACAGGTACTTCCCACAGGGCAGAGGGCCTCCATCTCCTCACTGCGCTGCTTTCAGATTCAGAGCCATGGACAGTTTTCTTTTGTTGTGCAGCAGTTTCCACAAATTCCTCACACCCAGTGCCACCACCATTCCATCTGGACACTCCATCATCTCAACACACCACGCGTATGTGGTCCTGCACACAGATCTACTTAGGAGGTGGAGGACTCTGCCAAGATGGCAGGAAATCACTGGGCTCTTATGCTGTGCCCTAGCGACCCATCCATATTTCTTGGTGGCAGCCAGCTTTGGAAACAGTATCCAACCACGACCCAGTGAAGTCTAGCAGCCCGTCCCTTGCTTTGCAGACACCACCAGGGCCCATCCTGTCTTCTGCCATCTCTCTCAGGCACATGTTTCTGTCTTTGGAAACATGAAACGTCTCCAAATAAGTGTGCCCTTCCCCAGTGAAACATATTCCCCAGTGACAAACACTGACTTCAAGGTAAAATCAATGTGAGCAGCTGAGGGTCCTTAGAAAACTTCCTTAAGAGTGAGAAATGTGTGTGATGTCACAGCCATCCTCGAGGCTGCAGATTAATCTCCAATGGCTTGTAGATTAGGATCCTAGAAATTACACCTGTGTATAGCAGAAAATATACATACAGTACTGCACTATAGTCCATGTGAGCGATGACATGTTTGAACATATCTATACCTCTCCATATGTACACATATGTACCTGTGTGCACAGTCAGGCACGTACACAGCAGTCTTTCCCTGGCTCTTGCACTTCCGTGCCAAGGACTCCAGGTTGCAGTCTCAATGGCTGGCACAGAGGTCACCGCTGAGGACAAAGGACTGGCTTGATGCATCGCCCCCTGTGCAGGACCAAGTCGGCTGGACAGTGGCAGCCTGCCACACACGGCTTGTTGCAAGGGCCGATCTCATTCCAGGTGTCACAAGTCTTCACACAGCCTGGGCCACAGGTGTCGTACACAGCGCCGTGCTTGCACTGGGTGGCTGTGGAAGAAGAGACAGAGCGGGATCTGTTTTTTGTTTGTTTGTTTGTTTGTTTTTTATTGAACTCAGGGATTGAACTCAGGACCTTGAGCTTGCCAGAAAGACACTTATGATGCTAAGCTGTATCCCTGGCTCTGATGCGGGACCTGGAGGAATGGCCCTCAGCCCAGCTTCAGCCCAGGGTCATGCCTGCAGGCTGGGTCCCTGCACAGACCTTCTTTCCCCACTACTGAGGTCTGCACAGCAGACATACACAGTACTCAGACCTTCATTTTAATGAGGGAATAACCAACACCTTCCATCCCTCACAAACTTTGGGACTCACCTGCATTTCTAAAAGCAAATCCTAAGATCTATCTCTGGGTCAATGCACTTCAAAATACCATACTCATAATGTAAACTTTCCATTCTCAGGTAAGGCAAACTATAAAGCATAAGCCTGTAGGAAAATGTTAATTTGACTTTTGCAAATAGCATGACAAATTAATCCCAAATAGACCCTCGAGCTATTGAGCTGTGGTGAAAACAAATATCTTGTGCAACTTTATAAATATTAAAATATGTGAAATTATACATACAGAAAAAAAACCTACCAAGGATATTGGAAACATGAGACATATCTTAGTCGAAACAATCAATTTGAGGTAAGTTACAGCAAAAGTAGGGCCACAAAGAGAGAGATCAGATGTGACAGGAGCAAGGGCCACAGTCCATCTGGGGCTGGCCAGGGAGTCTGAAAACAGTGACACAGATAAGCCTGGCCACTGTACAATCATTGTGGACACAGAATTGACATGACCTGGACACCAGAGACCCTGAAACTTCATGAAGAGACTCATCAGAAGACACCGATGAAAACAGCATTTAAATATTGTAGGTGTGTGAATTCAGCAAAATAATCCAATATAGTCCAGTAGTCCTGTAACTGTCCTACTAACTTGTTCTGAAACTGTCTCATTGCTATTTGTTTCTCAATAAAATTAATTTTTATAAAAGAAAAGAAAATGTCCTGGAAGTCCTACAACACTCAGACTTTTCCACCTGAGTCACTTCCAGGGACAATGGAAGGGGCTGCCCCTCAATCTTAAGACCAGGAACTTTATTATACATGGGAATCTGGAGCAGTGATTATCCACAAGCACCAGTAACCATCCAAAACTCATAACAATGGAGGACCTGTAGGCAGTAGCTTAAACCTTGCTATTGGTGTTCATGGGTTCACAGAGTAATATCTGGTGAAGAGTCTTGGAACTGTAGAAATGATTTAAATAGAACCAGTTCCC